TCTTGATTCTTGCTTTCCTTTTATATTTGCTCTAGCAACAATCTTTACAGCCACCAATGCCTCCACACTCGAAGATCAGGATCATCTATGGAGATATCTCTCTCTATATATGGTTTAGAGATGTAAGAAGATGATGCCACCTCATTAATGAGGTATCTTGCGGCTGAGATTGCACACCCGAAATGCATAAGACGGACATCTGGCCGGATGATTTCCTAAATGATGAAAGTCACCCTTGTCAATAGCCACTGTCATGCTTGTCTACGGATGTGTCAATCGGCATCCACCCTTGTCCACCCGGATGATCGACATACACATGTCCAGATCATATGGAAAGAGAGGTATCCCATTGAGAATCTTGATCCCACACTCTTTGCACTTCATGGGCCAATTATTGTTAGCCTCTTCCTGAAGCCACTACTTGCCACTTAGCCATAACTGGTTCTAACTGCTTTGTCATGCACCATAGCTTTGCCACATGTCTTATGCCTTCTTTCCTATCCTATATGTTAAATTTTGGTATATCAAATAAAATTAAAGGTTTAAATGGTAAATTGACATTTTCCAATTTGATATCTGTTGAAACTCTTTAATTTATATGTCAAATTTATTATTTTATTTCTAAAAAAATGATATAATTATTTTTATGACTCTTCGCACTAATTAAAATGAATTCTTTTTAAAAGATATTTAATCCTATTTACATATTATTTTATTTTTAAAAAGTGCTATAATTATGAATATTTTTTTAAACATAATTCAGAATTTTATTAATTTGCTACTAAACACTTTTGTTATTTCGTGAAAAAAGTAAAATTAGAGCACAATACATTTTACAAAAAAATAACAATAAATATTTAGTAAATCACAAGCTACAATTGCCTCCTTGAAAATGCCACAATTGCTCAACTAAGTCGTTTTGGCATATGCTCAACTAAAGTCTTCTTCTATGCTAAAACCAGCACCATGAACAGATGTTTTTTTTTTTTTTTTTGAGAACTTCATTAGTAGGAATTTGAGACTTCACCAAAAAATTCAGGGTTTTAGGTGGAAAAATATGGAAATTGAGAGTGTGGCTGTTAATTTCTGACCTCACAACCAAACAGATCTCTCTGCCGAGATCTAGGGAACTTAGCTAGAGAGCACGCGACGAAATAGATTAAACCAAACACCTGCATACAAGAAGATAAGAAATATTATGGTGGCTCGTCCACCCAGGGGCATTCTGACGCTCAAGTTCGTCAAGTTATCTCTCAAAGATTTCGAAATAGAATAATACTAGTTCAAAACATACCTTAGACCCACGGGGGTGCCCTCTTTATATAAAGATCAGTGTCTAACTTCTCCTAGAATACTTCACGGGACTCTATACTCATCAAGGATAACATTTATCTTAGACTCTTCTTATCCAAATTAGAATGAACTCCCTTAAGAGTCCCATCTCTATCCGATAAGAGACCCTGAAACTATTTAGAACTTTTTTCATTTATCCAAATATCTCAGATTCAAATATGATCATATCATATTTTGGCAACTTGGTCCATCCACGTGGCACCTTGGCTAACAACCTCGATCAGCCACGTGGACAACCCAAAAAATATGCCCCCACAACTACCTCTAGGTTCTATTACCTCGGAGACCTGAGGTGATGGAACCTATATCGTCTAATCTCTCAACATGTTGGTTAAACAACATACTAGAGATACTCCTCCAATCGACATCATGACTCGTCGATTTCAAGAAACAAGGACTCAAATGTCCACTCATCAAAAATCAAGAACCAAGAATCAAGAATGAAAATGATCCTTCTCGGCCTCCTTGCTTGATATTGGCCATCTATTTCTACTAAGTTCCCACAGATGGCACGAAATTGTGGATGTTTTATTTTTGTGAGTTATTTACTTAAGCTGTTATTTTGTGAGATAAGTTTATTGACTTGATCATCGGAGTGCCCTTGGTGGATGAGCCACTGCAGTGTTTTTATCTTCTTGTGCATAGGTGTTGGCTTAATCTATTCTACCGTGTGCTCTCTAACTAAGCTCTCTAGATTTCGGTAGAGAGATCTGTTTGGTTGTGAGGTCAAAAATCAATACCCACAGAGAGTATGAAGAATTCATGATATGAATGATTAAAAAAAAATATTACACAACTCTAAATTTATAGATAATTGCCTAAATTTTTTGTTACCCTTTTTTTTAACAAATTTTTGTTACTGTTTGTATTGTGTAAATTCTTGACATGCTCACTTAAAATAAAAAATAAACAAAAAAGAAAAAGAAACAGAAAAAGAAAAGTCGTGAGTTAAGAAGCATGTCAAATTTGACATGTTCTCAACCTTCGCCAAATTCATAACTCTTCTAATTATCTATTATGTACTAAGATTACCATAAATATAGGGTGGTTACGAAAGAAAGAAAAGAAAATAATGTTGGATTTATGAAATTTGTTTCAAATTTATGAAATCTGTTTTATAGGAAATTGAATATTTTTGGTTTAGTATAAAGAAGAAAATAGAACCTGACAATGAAGAAATGAAACTGGAACTATAGTAAAATGGTGAAATGGGGAAATCTTGATTCTGGCTTTAAAAAAAAAAAAAAAGCCCCCAATAAATTACATACACTTGGTGAGCATAAATCAAAAAGATTAGTTTGCTCACCAACACAAGAAAATAGACTTTTCACAAACACTGGCACAGGAGGCATGAATGAATGATAGATCTCTCTTGCAACCCACTGAAAGTTGTATAAATAGGATGCTAACTTAGATTACTTCAATTCTCCAAAAAAAAAAAAGAACATCCAAAATCTCATAAACCCAAATTTCTTTCATTGTTTTTGGGACATTTGAACAAGGGTCCCTCATAATGATAATTCTTTTTTACGAAATTGAGAGAAAGAGAGAGAGAGAGAGAGAGAGAGAGAGAGAGAGACCTTCCATTCGGAGAAAATAGAGTCATGTTTGGTGCGTTTACAATTTTCTCTCTTCACGATGGCCATGGTGGAGGAGGATGAGGAGGTGCTCCGGTTGCTGGCGAACACAAGGAGGAGCAGCGGTGAGAGAAGGAGCAGAGATAGAGAGAAAGAGAAATGCTGAAAATAGAGAGAGGGAGAGAGAGAGAGAGAGAGAGTTGCTGGTTTGTTACGGTTTGGGTTGGAAACAAAATACATATATAATTAATAACAATTTGCGACAAATATTTTAGTCGCTAATTACTTTTTTAATCCCCTCCAAAATTTAAAATCTCCCTCCAAATATTTTAGTTTTTTGGTAACTAAAATATTCTTTTGTCGCTGAAAATATACTTTTGGCAACCAAACTTTTGGTCGCCAAATATAAAAAATAATTTTTTTTCTTTTCATTCGGCTACTAAACAATTTTAGTAGCTAAAATTAACTGTACGACTACTAAAATATTCTTTTGTTGTTGAAAATATACTTTTGGCGACCAAACTTTTGCTCGCCAAAGATAAAAAATAATTTTCATTCAGCTACTAAATAATTTTAGTAGCTAAAACTAACTATACAACTACTAAAATATTCTCGTCGCTGAAAATATACTTTTGGCTACCAAAATTTGGTCGCCAAATATTTTTAAAAAATAAATAAATAAAAAAATTTCATTCGGCTACTAAACAATTTTAATAGCCAAAACTAACAATATAGCTACTAAAAAAAAAATTTAGTCGCCAATTGTGATATTTTTAGCGACTAAATTTTTTTTAGTCGCCAATAATTAATATTTCCCGACTAAAAAAAATTAGTAGCTAAATATTTGACTTTTGCCGACTAATATTATTTTTAGTCGCGAATTCCATAACTTTTGGAGACTAAATTTTTTTAATTGCCAAAAGTGTATTTTGTTGCAATGTGTTGGTGTGCCATGCAAGGTTGGAGATGCTCCATGCCTTTTGCCAAGCCTTATACAAACAAGAAGATTACAAATTCAGAATTATATACTCAAAATTTATTCAAAAATAAAAATTAATAATTTTATTTTATTTCACTCATGAACTTCACATTTCATCAATTTAATATCAACCACATGCAGCAGTGATTGGGAGCTCTAGTAGAGCTGCTCTAATAGCAACTCTACTGAGCTGGCAACCAAAAAAAAAAAAAAAAAAAAACAGAAAAAGACAAAACAGTGGCCAAAAGAAGACAATTTAATGCTAAGTTTAGAGGTGCTCCTTTAGAGCTCTAAAGCAATTTTGCAACCATATGTACCCTTCTGAATAAATTTGAGGCCCTAATTCTGGGACCCTACTTTTTATTATACAAATCATATGGCACGATATTCAACATTTTTACCAAATGAGCATCCCTGTGCACAGGTGAATTGTAAAAACCTGGTACCAACAAGTACAAAATCCGGAAATGTGTTGGGCGGCAATTCAACTCTACTGCATCCTGCCTATCAGTAGGTTGTATGACTACTTTTGTTGCTGATGCTACATAAAATGTGAGCAATTAACAATTCATTCATTTGTACGCATGTTTTGGTTGACTTACCTGCTCTCTGATATATATATATATATTAGCGGGTGATATACACGTTACGTGTATAATTTAAATAATTACTAATAAAAATAAAGAATAAATAATTTAAAATCATAACATATATGTTGTTTAAGCGATAAATATATTTTTAATAAAACTTAAGGTCTTGATTTCAAAATTTACTTACGCTGTGTATAATAATTTTTTTATTTTAACATATATAAAGTTATCACCTAACATAAGGAGAAGAAGATTTTACTAAACTAATTTAGACCTTCACTTAATAATAGTATAGATATATATATATATATGAGTAATGTTAGAGATATTAAAAATTTTATTAAATTTTCTACTAAATATTTCACATGGCTATCGGACTAACATTTGATAAAAAAATTAGTAAAAATTTTGAATTCTCTAATATTTTATATATATATATATAAATATAATTTTCTCAGCTGGCAATGTGCTTTATTTGGAGTATAAGAAGCATTTACCTACTATAGGTTACAGAAGATTACAAAATCATGAATTTTATGGCAGAAGAAGACCCTGAAAATGGAACCGTTTGCTCAAATAATTGCGAACTAGTACCACACAGGCACAACAACCAAGTCCATGGACAGACAGATATCACAGACAGGACTTTGAGTTTCACTGAGATATATAGGCCTTCTTTAAATAAAGCTAAGGTAGTTTAATACTTCCATTTAAATTGCTTTCCCTTTTCTCGTTTCTTTGTTTTCTTTATCATTCTTCCCCATAAATGAATTGACATTGTGTTGCTGTTGATCAAATCCTGAACAGGAAAGATGACCTCTGTGTTTTACTTCTAAATTCATTTGATTCGGCACGTGATTCTATGTGTCCCAAAATTTTGTTTTCATGTCCCAATGTACTATTTGGGGTAGAGATTATCTTGTTTTGAGATTATCATCACATCTCGTAAAACAAAAAGTGTATTGGGACAAAGAGATAGAGATCTTGGGACATAAAATAATGTCCCTAGCCATTTGATTCATCACCCTACGAGTTAAAATTTTTAAAATTTTAAAGTGGATACAATCTTAATCAAAACGTTATGCAAAATCACCCTACAATCTCAATACTTCTAACTTTTTTTTTTCTTATTATTTAATTCTTAAACGCATGTGTCTTTGCATATACTTCTACAGACACTAAGGTGTGTAGGAAATCGTGAATGAGGGTGGAGAGTGGATTGTGTCCAGTGGATAGCAATTATTGGTTTAATAATTTTACTGTTAGCCGAGATAAATATTTGAAGAAAAATAGAGTATTGTTGTGATATCCCAAATTTTGGAACATCATGGGATACTAAGAAAATATTTACCTAAAAAATGTTAAACTTAATGATAATGTCAGAAGTTTTTTCCAATGTAACCAAAAAAAAAAATTTGAAATCAGAAGTTTAATATTTACATAATATTTCATGATATTCCGAAATTTGGGCGTTACAATCATTGTGTATTTTTTTGGAATCAAAATTGTGTGGAAAAATTATTCATATCAAGTGAGTTGTGTAGCACAGATAAATCGTAATTTTGATTAGAAATTCTCTTTTCCAGTGTTTCATTTGAGAACTTGAAGATAATGTGAGATCCGGATTTTGACAACCTTAGTTGAGTGAAAATGAGTGATGAAAAGATTTTCAATGTGTTTTAAAATACCTGAAGTGTGCTAACTTGAGCTCTAAATTGAATTTTTTTCTTTTTTTTCTTTTTTTTTTTTCTCAGACATACAATGCAATGCAGACATTGTTGTTGGCATACCAATCTCTTGGAGTTGTGTACGGAGACCTTGGAACTTCTCCTGTCAACGTGTTACCTTCTGTTAACCTTTCAAACCCCAAAGAAGAAGATCTACTTGGCATCTTTAGTATCATCTTCTGGACTATAACTATACTTGTTTTGATAAAATACGTCTTCATTGTCCTTCACGCCGATGATAATGGAGAAGGTGGTACTTTCGCTTTGTATTCATTTCTCTGTAGGCATATCAACTTTCAGAGCAAACTTACCATTCAAAACACAAGGTTGGAATCGGATGACACTATGAGATATTACACGAGAGGGAGTGCTTTGCAATCGAGGACTAAGAAGTTTCTTGAGAGAAGCACAACCGCTCAATCCATTCTCACTTTTGTTGTATTACTTGGAACTTGCATGGTCATTGGTGATGGAGCACTCACCCCTGCCACTTGTGGTAACTTCTACTTCCTCCTCAACTAACTACCTCTGACGCCTGGTTAGGATCCTATATTCCAAAATCTAAGTTTCATTGTTGCTAATACACTTTCAACAGTACAATTTGAAGAAAGTCTTAAAATACAAGAATTTTGAGATATTATTGAGTAATTAAGTAGTTGTTCAGATGTGCTATATAAGTGTACTTTTTGACTTTTTGGTTAAAAAAATAAAGAAAAAAATATGTATGTTTGGGATAACTTTTTAAATTTTTACAAAAAAATGTAAAATAAAATATTGTAGTAAAATCAAATTGACCATTTTATCCTTTTGATTTTTTGACTTTTTGGATAATTGAATTCAAAGGGTAAAATAATAATTTTGCCATAGTAACTTCCCCATAAGCTACCCTTGAATAGTATATATTTTTTAACTTTTTAATAATTTTTTAACTTCTTTAGTGTATCCCAAACAAGGTCTAAGAGTGCATTAAAGACGAGGGGAACATGTTCGCATCCTCTAGCTTTATGATGCAAGGCATTGTAGTACTTGGCAAGGCATTCTCTATCCCCATTTTTAATATTTTGTGTCCCAAATACTTTTTTCATCCCATGACGTACCAACTCGTAATTTTGAGAAATTAATTATTTTGACACATCTTTCAATACAGAGAATGTTTGGGACTTGGTATGGGTAAAATAAAAAGAGAGGATCTCATTTTTCATTGATGTGTCAATTCTCAATTAAAGGATTAGTTAGTGTGGCATATCATGTGGTGAAAGAAAGTTTGGGATGTGAGACGAGAAAAATGAGAACATAGATCCCTCTTTGTTATACAGCTGCAAATCCATGCCCATTTTTCTTGTTCATCCCAAACACTATTTTTCAAAGTGCCAACTCTTAATTAACCCATTTTTCTTAGCCATTCCAAATCATGTTTCTACCCCATGATCTGCCAACTATCAATTAAGAAGTAATTGTATTGACAATTGTTTTGTTGTTGCAGTTCTGTCATCCCTTCAAGGGATCCAATCTCGTTCCTCAAAAATCACACAAAGTAAGTAGGTTTTGTTTAAACAACTATTGATTTGATACTGGGGGAAAAAATTAAATAAATAAATGAATGAGAAAATGCTTGGCACCATGTGAGTGTTTGGTAGATTTTTTAGTAGCTTATTTTGTATCCATAGCATTGCTCATGAGGAAACACTTAATTTGAAGAATAATGTTTGAGAGCCACAATTTGTGTGGCTCAAATGGCTCAAAACTGTCAAAACGACATCGTTTTGGCATGTTTTGTGCTCAAAACGACGTCGTTTTGGCAGTTTTAAGCCATTTGAGCCACAAAAATTGTAGCCCTCTACCATTGCCCGAAAGAGAAAATGATAGGGCACAGAGACAGCCTCTATCATTGGCTTACATCATTAATTGCTGAGAGTTTGTTTGATAACGTTTATGTTTTCAGTTTATATTTATAAAAATTTTATAAATTAATTTTTATTTATTTTTAGAAAAATATAAACTATAAACGCGTTTGGTAATTAACAAAATATTTAAAAAAAATTAAAAATATAAAAAAGAGTGAGAAATGGTAAGTGGCGGCGGAAGACGGTGGTGGAAAGTGGTGACAATGGGTGGTGGGTAGCTGGTGGTGGGTGACGATGGCAGGTGGGTGGGTGGTAGCGAGTGGATGGTGGTGGTGGGGGTGGTGGTGGCAGATGCAGGTGGGTGGTGGGTGGTGGTGGCGAGGGGTGGGTGGTCCCCTTTTGATGGCTC